GGAGACGGCGGCGCCGGCGACGACGGCGACGACGGCGGCTGGGCCGACGGCGCCGCCGCGGCGGACGGCGCGCTCGCGCACCGCGGCGCCGGCTGCGACGTCGACGTCGTCCTCGACGCGGACCTCACGGCGGCGGCCTTCCGCGACCGCTACGTGCGCAACGCGCGGCCCGTCCTCGTCCGCGGCGCCGCGCTGTCCTGGCCCGCGCGGTCCGCCGCGCGGCGCGACGCGCTACTGCGGCGCTTCGGCGCCGCGGCGGTCGCCGCGGCCGCCGTGCCCTACGCGGCCCTCTTCGGCGAGGCGGAGGCGACGGTCGCGCTCGACGACTTCGCCGCGGGCCTCGCGCGCGGCGGCGCCGCGCGCCTCGCCGCGTTCCTCGCGAACGCGTCCGCGGACGCCGCGGCGCCGCCGGCCTACGTCTTCGGCAACGGCGGCGCGGCCGAGGCCCTCGTCGCGGCGCTCCTGCCGCCGCCGGAGGGCCTGCCGGCCTGGCTCGGCGCCTACGGCGAAGCCTTCGCGCTCGCCGCGCCCCAGTTCTACCTCGGCCCGCCGCTCTCCGGCGCGCCGGCCCACTTCAGGGCAGGACAAGAGAGCGAAATTCCCAACTTCAAAGCCTCATATCTCGGCCGTTTTCCACTCGTTTCGGCTGATTTTTGGACGAGCGATCATCTCTCGGAACGCTCTCGAAGCGTGGATGCTTTTTACGGAACGCGCGCGCGCGGAACACTCACATTGAAGCGACGTTGAATCTCTCTTGTCCTGCCCAGGCCCACTTCCACGGCGCGGCCATCAACGGCCTCGCCTTCGGCGCCAAGCTCTGGCGCCTCGCGCCGCCCTGGCGCGCGCGCGCGCCGCGCCGACGTCGCGCCGCGCGCCGCCGACGCCGCCGCCGGCGCAGGCGACCTACGCGACGGCGCCCGCGTTCTTCGCGTTCCGCGAGGACGCGCCGGGCGCGCGGACCTGCGTCCAGCGCGCGGGCGACGTCCTCTTCGTCCCGAACAACTGGGGCCACGCCGTCCTCAACCTGCGCACGTCCGTCGGCGTCGCCGCGGAGCTCTCCTTCCTCGAGCTGTGACGACGTCGGCCACGTCGGGTGCCCGCGCGCGACTAGCCTGAAAGTTAGCCTGACGGCAACTTGCTGCAAGTACCTCTAGAGCGGGAAGCTCGCAGTGGCGGCAGATATAGCTGTTCAAGGATATACATCGAAGGAATGGCCTCCAAAGGCTGGACGCCTGGATATACCTCTTTGGCGTCGTCCGTGAGCCAGCCAAAAAGGGTATATCCGTGCAAGGATACCGGTGTGCAAGGCTGGCGGCCCCTAAGTCCAGCTCCTCGGAGCGGCCATGGCCGCGTCAAGAGCCGAAACACAGCGCATTGCGTCGGTTCCTCGGCGATCTGTGGGTCAGGTGCGGCTGTGAGGGCGCGGGGCGTCGCCGCGCCGCGCAACCAGCCGCTGGCGGGCTGCCGCAAGCGTCTGCGGGGCTGCTACGGGCTGCCTCGGAGCTTGCGCGGTCATCGGGATAGCCCCTGCGTCTCCGCCGGCGAGTCGCATGCTTGGGCGAGCACGGAGTACTCAGTTGCTTCGCCGAGAGCCTCGGTGCGTGATGGCGCTGCGGCGCGGCGAACCGCGCACTCGCCGAGCGCCGACACGTTCTTGGCGCGACGGGCAGCGCCGCGCCAAGGCTGCGTTGTATGCGGGTGACGCCGCGGAGCGATCACCGCCATCGCGTGGTCCGCGATGGTCCGTGCGTGGACTCGCGCGATGGCGAGGGAGCAATCGCGCGCGCGCGGCGCGCGTGAGCCAGCCGCGCGCGGCGCGCGCCAGACCCCGCCGCGGCCGGCGCCCCTCGACCTGCGCGACCCTCGCCTCGAGAAGAGTCGCTCACGCAGCGTGTCGTGGGCCACGTCCTGTGAGAAGTCGCTGCCGAAGCGTTTGCGTGAAGACGCATTCGTCACGCCGCGCGCGCCGAGCCAAGCGCGCGGCGCGCGCCAGACCCCGCCGCGGCCGGCGCCCTGGCGCGGCGCGACCCTAGTAACGCCTTCTAGTGACCCTCGGAGTCTCGTTGCGCCGCTGTCACCGATCCCTCCCGGCCCGCCAGCGCAAGCGCGGCAGCCGCGGCACGCCGCGGTGCCTCCTTCAGCCACAGCCTGGGCCGGCGCTTCGCGCGGGTGACCGGCCGGACGCCCGGCAGCCCCCTCGACGGCCTCACTCCGGGCACAAGGGCCGATAGAGGCCTACAAAACCACCCTTTTCCCCTTTCCTCCCGCCTGCGGCGGTCGGTTTTTTTCTCCTTTCCCGCCGCCAGGCGTAATTAATTAGCCTCTAGAGCTCTGAGAGTTCG